TATTGCAATATAATTGACATATAAGTGCGTACACATTTAAAGTACATATGTTTTGACTTGTGAAACATCATCACCATCATGACAATCAAGATATTCACCTTCAAATGTTTCCTCCTCCTTTATACTCTTCTGTCCTTGTCCACCTCATCCCCCCACAACCACTTTCTGCTTTTTCTCATTCTAGTGTGCATTTTTTAGAGTTTTATATAAAGTAAATCATTCCATATTATTGTCTGGTTTCTTGCATTCTCCAGATTGTTGTTTATATCAAGTGCCCATTTTATTTTTATTGCCATGTAATGTTCCCTTGTATCAGTGGATCATTATATCAATACAATTACATTGTATGTGAGAACTTACCTATTAACCTGTTAATGCAAATTTGGGTAGTTTCCAGCTTTTGGTTACTACAAATATAGCTGTTATGAATATTCTTATAAAAGTCTTCCAGTAAACACATGCTTTCATTTCTTGGCTAATTACCTGGTAGTAACATACCTAGGCTATGTGGTAGGTATATGGGTAAAGTTTTTGAAGCTGCCAAACTGTTTTCTAAAGTAGTAGTACCATTTTACATCTGACTTCAGTTGCTTTACATCCTTGCCATGGCTGGGCTCAGTTTGTCTTTAACTTTAAAGAGTAACTCGTGTGGCTTTATTTTGCATTTCTTTAATGCCTTGGGATATTGAGCATCTGTGTGTGTGTGTGAGAGAGAGAGAGAGAGTTTGAAATCTGCATATCTTCTTTTGCAAATGAATGGTCTTTCAAATTGTTGGTTCACTTTTTATAAATTGGGCTGCTTATTGTAATTGAGTGTTGACAGTTTTTTTTTTTTTTTTTTTTTATACATTCTTGTCCCTCATTATAAAACTGATATGCAAATATCTTCTCCCAGGATGTGGCTTGTCTTTTCATTCTCTTAACAGCCTTTCAAAGAGCAGTTCTTAATTTTGATGATGTCCAATTTAGCAAGTTGTTCTTTTATGGATTGTGCTTTTGATGTTTTATCTAAGAACTCTTTCACAAGGAAATGCTCCCTAGTTTTCTTCTGGGAGTTTTATAATTTTAAATTTTACATTAATAACAGAAAGACATACAATAAGTTTCCAAATATTTGGAAACAAGCCACAATTGAAAATAATCCAATGATTAAAAAAGAAATCAAAAGTGGAAATAGAAAGTATCTTGAAATGAATGAAAAGAAAAACATCAAAATTGTGATATAAAGTTAAAGCAACAGAATGAAATACATAGCTCTAGTGCTCTTAGGAAGTACCTCAAATCAATGACCTCATCTTCTACCATATTAAGAAATAAAATGGCAAGATGAGCAACTGAAATACAAAGTAAGCAGAGAAAGAAAACAAAGAGCAGATAGCAAAATAGGAAATCAAACCAAAAACAGATTCTTTAAGATCAATTAAATTAATAAACCTCTAGCCAGATGAATGAAATAGCAAACCCAAACAAAAAGATCTGCATACTTAAGGGTCATCATCTCTTTAACAGGCTTTCTTTAAAGACCAGAGAAAGGATCTGAATTCAAAATAAAAAACCCAGTGAATACCAAGTGTGGGTTCTCACCACCCAGGAGTCAATTCTAGGGCTTCTCTTCCCACCATCTCTGAAACTGCATGTGGCAATCATGCCATCATGCCTCAGGATTTACTGTGTCCACAGTGAAAAGTTTTCATGGACTCAGGAGAATCTCAGGGCATTCGGAGCCCTCAGTCTGCAGGATTTTTCATGGACAAGGAGCAGGCAGCAGAATCTAGAGCCATCACCAGATGGTGACCAGAAGTTTCTCAGCCTGGGAACCCGAGGTCCTCATTGGGATAAATGTAGACTCTGCACTCATTTGTCTGAGATTCTAGTGATCTTCCATTTGCCTGAGGATGATCAGTGCTGGGCAATCTCTTGACCCTGACTTCAACCCCACATCTCTTTTTCCTTTTTAAAATCTCAGCACCCTGCCCTGGCTGGGTTTGCTCAGTAGTTAGAGCAGCAGCCTGCAGATGGAAGGGTCGAGGGTTCGATCCCCAGTCAAGAGCACATACCCAGGTTGCAGGTTTGACTCCTGGCCCTGGTCCGGGTCAGGAGGAAACTATCAATGTGTCTCTCTCCAAATTAATGTTTTCTCTCTCCCTCCCTCCCACCCTCTCTAATAAAAAGAAAACCAATGGAAAAAAATATCCTCCGGTGAGGATTAACAACAAAAATAAATTTAAACATAAAATAAACTCTCAGTACCCTCAAGTCTTCCCCATCCGCAGTTCCTCTCCCACCTATACACCTTCCAAGACAGATGACTGTCATCTAATCTCCTAGGGTGGGAAGGGGGGAGCCGGTTTTCTCCTCAGAGTTACTTTGCCACTGAGACCTGGTAGAGACTGGAACTTTGAAAGGAACAGAATCAGTCTGGGAGGTGGGTGAGTTATCAGAGGATCTAGGGCTTACCGGAGAAGTTCTTGCACTCCACGTAATCCAGCGAACCCTACAGGAAGAACTCTGTTTATGATAAAGCTCTATGGTTTTACTTCCCCTTTTTTTTAACTTTCTTTTTCCCCTCTTAATACCCCTGCCCAGGCACACAAGCCTGGTGTGCACATGGCTGGCCGTGTCTACGTGCACTGAGTTGAAGCCTTTCATTTTTCCAAATAAATCCTTTTTGGTGACAAAGCACCTAGTCAATATAATTTTTTTTTTTCAGTTGACAGACCCTACAGGTCCAGTCCTATATCCTAAATGTTTTAAATTTTCTTGAGAATATTAGAGACAAATAACAAAGCTCATATGAGCTTCAACTCATGGGAAGGATGAGGGATACCTCATAGTTGATAAATAAATGTTAATTATCTTTCTGCCAAACATGCTAGTATGCCAAGAGGTCATCTTTAACAAACTCATACTTTTAAAAAATATTTAATGTGGGATATGAGTGCACTTTTGTTGTTGAAAGTGTAAACAGGTGATGCTTTACTGGTGGCATTTGTGCATCTCACGTGTTCTCTCACAGGCCTCAGATTTCCTCTTCATTCGCTAAATGTGCCACCCGCACCACTGTGTACAAGACGTTCAAAAGGTCTCCTTCACCGACAGAGGGCTGTCGGGCTGGAGCCAGAGCTCTGAAAGTCTACGCTGTGCTGTGGCTGCCCTAGCAAGCTCCCTCCCCTGGGTCATTCCAAACTACTGGCTGGTGTCCCAGCTGGAGGCTACTGCAGCAGCAAGTGGTCCCTTAGCTAGGTCAAGGCTTTCTGTTTGGGGAGTTATCCCAGCTTCTTTCCGCATCCAGATTGCTGTCTTACCTCATCCAGAGACGCTTGGGTTTTTTTTAAGAATAGGATAGCGTATAACATATACTAAAATAGATTTACGCAGAGGGAGTGTGATCATTTTACACAAATCATGCAAAAGGTAGCAAAAACAACCAACAAAACTGAATGGGAAGTAGTTCGTTACAAAAAAATTGAAATATTACAAAATATTGCACAGTTCTATGCTAATAAGTCTTAAAATGTTAAATAGTTTTGTGAAAAAAATTAAGAATATAATATTTAAAAAACAACCAGAAAAGCTTCGCAGTAAAATAAAACTGAAAAGATGTACAAAATTATCTTTCGTTTCCATTGGGCCTTACGCGGACGGAGACCTGTGGAGACCCAGGCTGCTGAGGCATTTCTGCAAGGACAGGCTCACTTAGAACAGAGCCCTGCCGCGCCCAGCTCTGGGCCAGTGGGGCTGCAGGGAGTCATGGGAGTGAAACCAGAGGGATCTAGGAAAGTATAACTGAACAGAACCTTTATTTCTTTAATAGGACTCTTTCTCCTTTCTCTCATTTTGATTTAAGCATGCCTCATTTAGCGCCGACTCGCATCACCCTCTCCCTGGCATGTCCACTCCCTTAGTTGTTAAGCCCTCAGCACAGTGAGGTTCTAGTCTAAACTTAGGAACAAAGCCTCGGGTCTACTGGCCGCAGAGACGAGTTTCAGTCAAACTAGACCTGAGTTGTATTTCAGCCTCAGACCCTGAAAAGGGGAACCACCCCACCAACCACGCCCTCATAACAGCAGACAGAATGTTGCCATGCCTGACATTAAGATCTGATACAATGCTCAGCTACTCCCTACCTGGACCCTGACCAATCAGTAAAGCCCACAACCCCAACTCCTTCAGTTACTATAATTAATGATTTCCCCCCTATATAACCCATTCCCTAGAAGCCATCAGGGAGCCAAGTCTCAGAGCAATAGCTCACCTGTGATTCTGGGTTTGGCGTCATTTCCTTAAAAATAAAACTTCACTTTGCTGCAAACTCCTGTTTACAATTGACTGGGCTTTGATGTCTGCAGGAGACTCCTGCTCTGGTATCTATGTGGTTGTTGTCATCATCCTCTGCATAATTTCAGTTCTCCCTCTGCCTGTATTAACGAGTCCCCATGATGTGACCCTTGCCCACTTCTGTGGCCTCTCTTCTGTTTACCCAGAGCTCCAAGTACAATCCCATGGAACCATTTGCAGGTTGTTGAGTACTGCAACTTGTTTATCCTTCCCTCCAGGTCATTTCTGCCTCCCAGAAGCACACTCAACTGCGAGTGATGCACCAGAGAAATTCTTGATACCCTAAGAAGAGTTTCCAAAAGTGACCGTTTTTTCCTACATTGAACATATTACATGTTGGTAGATGGTTGGACTGGGTAAGTAAGTCTGTTGTAGGTGCTGTCCTGTGCATTGTAGAATGGTTAGCTGTATCCCTGACCTCTACCCACTAGATGGCAGCAGCCTTCCCTGTAGTTATGACAACCAAAACTTTCCAATTTAGCCAAATGTCCTCGGGGCAAATCCTCCTTCCCCACCCCGATCTTTCTGCCCCCACTGAGTTAAAACACTCCTCTCTGCAGTGGCCCTAAAGGACTGCCGCCCATTTGGCCCAAAAGCTCCCCCCCTTTTCTTTTCCTTCCAGCCCCCAAAATTTCACTTTCACTTCTCAGTCAGTCCTCAGGAGGAATTACTTCATACAGTCTGAGTCCCTGTTTGGCGAATGAATCCTGACCAGAACTGCCCCATCTTTCCCTCACCACTTAAACTAGGAGTCAAGATATCTCCGCTGGGACCTGAAGGTACGTGGGGAGGGTTAGCCAGGCAGAGGGTGGGAGACACCCAGAGAAAGTACTAGGTGAGTTTAGTTTGTGGCCCAGTTGTGCTCTGAAGGGAAAAAGCCAGCTGTAGGCTTCCTGCTCCGAGTGCAGACAGATGCAGCGTCTGGAGAGGAACAGCCTGGAGACAGGAGGGCTGAAGAGGCAGGGGGCCTTGTGTTTCCTGGAGGGACCCTTACTTTCCAAAGCTCAGTTTGCCTCCACCCTCTTCCTATTCTATGGTTTTGATTATCTATCTTGCTGATAATCTGTAATCTCTTTCTCTCTCTCTCTCTCTCTCTCTCTCTCTCCCTCCCTCCCTCCCTCGCCCCCCCCCTTCTCCCTAGGTTAAAGAGAGAAAAAGAAAGTCTCTCCTGCCCAACTCCACTTTCTGTCTGTAAAAGAGGCCCCTGTTTTACAATATGGGGCATCAGACAGAATGGAGTCTTGGGACATGGTGAGGGGTAATATTGAACCTGATTCTTTCATTCCCCTCCTAGCAACCACCCAGGGGCTGTCTCTGGCCTTCCTGGCTAACCTCAGCTGCTGGCTGACCTAGAGATAGCAGGCTGAATGATCTGTCTGCTGCCTGCCTCTGAGGCTGCCTTTTATCCTGTGTCCTCCTGAAATTCAGTATCGGGAATTTACTGGCACTTCCTGAATAGACCTGCTTGCTTTGACTTCAGTGGCCCATTGACACTGGTGTCCTCACCTGCTGTGGAGCATTTAGAAACACCTTTGCATCCACTGTTACTTCTTCTGCTTCCTGTTTTTCTTTGTTCAGAGCTCATGAAAAGGGGTTGATCATTGCTCAGGAGGAACCCAAAGTTTTAATGGTCCTGCTGAGAAGTTTGCTCTGACACTGATTATGTCTCATCCTAGGCTCATTTGTGAGCCATCTGCACACCGTTGAATGTCACATATTTTCTGACACATGCCTATTCTGCCCTATACTTCCCCTTTTCAGAAATCAGTGGTACTGTCTTCCTGGGAGTCTATGCCCACCCTGGAGAGGGTCCATTTCTGCCCAAATATTGTCTTCTCAGGGTCAAGAACAGTGCCCAACATATAGAGTAAAATTGATTGATTTATTTGTTTTTAAATTTTAATTCATGCAAACTAAAGCAGGCTGCTGCTGTGAAAAAGTGCAATGAGCATCCATTCAACATACAAGACACATCACATACATATAAGAGCTTATATTCTAGTTAGGGAGAGATCATAACCAAAAACAAACCATTGACACAGTATACAAGAAGGTGACTACCCTGGCTAGTGTGGCTCAGTTAGTTGGAGCGTTGTCCCATACACTGAAATATCACAGGTTTAATCCCCGGCCCCGGGCGTGTGAGGGAGGCAACCAATCTATGTGTTTCTCTCTCATGGTTGTTTCTCTCTCTCTCTCTCTCTCATGGTTGTTTCTCTCTCTCTCTCTCTCTCTCTCTCTCTCTCTCTCTCTCTCTCTCCTCCTCCCTCCCTCCCTCCCTTCCACTCTATCTAAAAATCAATGGAAAAATATCCTCGGGTGAGGATTAAGAAAAGAAAGAAAGAAAAAGATGACAAATAATACACCGAGTGATGTTTTAGTGATTGTGCTGTAGAAAAATTAGTCATAGTAGGCCCTTCTGCTGAGAAAACTTACAAGAAGAGAGTTCAGTGAAGTATAAGAGGAAGTCACCCAAATATCAAGGGAGGATCATTCCAGGCTGAAAGAAAAGCCAAAGCTCTGAGGCATTGGTAGCTCACTGATTTCAATTATTTTCCTCTTCTTTTTTTTTTTTTTCTGTCCTTCAATTTTTCAGCCTTGGCTAATCCTCAATGTCTGCATAATTAGCACCATTTTTGTCTGTGCTATTCTTACACCATCTCCTTTCAATCTTCCCATCCATCTAGGAATCTTTAAGCAAGAGCCTCAGGAAGAAACCAGGGGAGCAGCTGCCATGGCTTTAAAAGTCCTGTCGAACATAAAGGAGAAGGTGACTTGTACCATCTGCCTGGAGCTTTTGACAGAACCCCTGAGTTTAAACTGTGGCCACAGCTTCTGCCATACCTGCATCGCTGACAAGAAATCAGCGATCGGCCCAGGACAGAAAAGCAGCTGTCCTGTGTGTGGTGTAGGATACTCTCTTGGAAACCTGTGGCTTAATCAGCATCTGTCCAGCATCGTGGAGAGGCTCCGAGAAGCCAAGTTAAGCCCAGAGGAGGGGCAGAAGGGAGATCTCTGTGTGCGCCATGGAGAGAAACTCCGACTCTTTTGTAAGGAGGATCGGAAAGTCATTTGTCGACTTTGTGAACAGTCTCAGGAGCACCGTGGTCATCAGATATTCCTCATGGAGGAGGCCGTCAAGGAATGTCAGGTAAAGCCCAGGATGGAGGGAGATGGGTGGAAGACAGTACTCGTGGGAAATCGCACCTTCCCACCCTGCTTTACTCACCACATCATAGTACTGAGTGCTGTCATTTTCCACGTGTGTCTCTCACCCCGGGTTCAGCTTCCCGTGCCTGAAAGACCCTGCTGTGTACTCCTTCCATTTACATGAACGATGAACCTCATGAGAGCACAGACTTTGGCCAAGACTGAGAAGTTTTCCTCTTTGCTCCTTTGCCGTGTGGATGGAGAATATCTTTCACAAGTGTAGCTCTCTTTGACCCTCTCCACAAGATGGTTGCTCTTCAACACTGCGGATTGGATGCCCACAGAGTTTTAATGAGAGGATAGGACTTTCCTTGGCTGTAGCAGAATCAATATTTACTCTAGAAAGAAAGAAAATCAGGCTACTCTTGATGAGGGGATGGTGACTTTCATCACCCAGGAATAAAGAAAACATTCACCTTCGAATTGGTCCCAGGTCATAGAAGCTAACCACCAGATTCTAATCGCAGTTTCTGTCAACCAGTCTCTTCTTCTGACGTCATCCACATTCATTCCTTGTTTATCCTCCATCCAGGTGCTAAGAAAGCCCATAGCTTGACCATGGTGTGATTCCTTTCACAGGAGACGCTCCAGACAGCTCTGGGCCGGCTGCGGAAGGAATATCAGGAAGCTGAGAAGTTGGGCACTGACCTCAGAGAAGAGAGAACTTCCTGGAAGGTAGGAGGAGACTGTTTCTGAGGAATTTCTGAGATAGGAATCTTGGTAGGACCTTCCATGCCAATCACAAGGAAGTTCCTTTCTCTTCGTTCCCCAACATTGAATGAGTCCAGAAGCCATTTGATTAGTTCTCTTCCTTGTTCTGTCTCTGTTGGGCACAGGGGCAGGAGAGTGGATGTTATGAGTAAACATATTACAATGACAAATGTTACAAGTATACACAGATATTTGAAATTGAGAGCCAAGACAGACTTAATGGTAAGGAAGGCTAGAGAATTCCCTTCCATTCCTCTGTTCCGGAGAGGCTCTGGTATCTCTAGTGGAAGGAAGACTCTGGGCACAGGACCAGGATTTTCCTCAAGGTTCAAATGGACAGTGTGGTAATGCAGGAAGGCATGAATGTCCAGGACAGCTGTGTACAACCTAAACCTTACTCAAGTTTTACATTTGTTCCAGGTTGGCCTAGATAAGAGAGTCTGAGGCCCTTTTGGTTTGTACTGAAAAGAAAATACCAGGAAAAACAGCTTTCCCCCCAATTACTCCCCTGTTTCTACTCCTCTCCTGGTTAGAACTCCCTGGGAGGGGTGGGGGTGGGGGTGGGGTTCCTGGCTTCTAATCCCTTGCACAGTAGGCTCTCTGGCTGATAGATTTATTGCCTCTTTCTCTTGTTCAACTTTGCAGAATCAGATACAGACTGAGAGACAACGGATACAAAAAGAATTTAATCAGCTTAGAAGCATCCTAGACAGGGAGGAGCAGAGAGAACTGCAGAACTTGAAGGAAGAGGAGACGGAGACCCTGGATGATTTATTGAAGGCTGAGAAAGAACTGGTTCTGCAGAGCCAGTTGCTGAAAGACCTCATCTCAGATCTGGAGCTTCGCAATGAATGGTCATCCATGGAGCTGCTGCAGGTAAAAAGGGTAACCCAATTTGACATTCTGAAAACACAGTCTAAATTGCCTTCTCTTCTGTGTCCTTGGTGTTGACACTAATAGGTACCTTTGGTCTTGTAGAGAGTCTGAGAATAAAGTCGACAGATAGGGAAGAAAAGAGAATCAGGAAACAAAACGGCCAGGATTTGAGCTTCCAGATCCATCTGTGACTAAAGTAATATATCTCTGGGCACAATCTTTTTGTTTGTTTGTTTGTTTGTTTGTTAAAGAGATATTAGTTGACTTCTTTGTCATGTACAACCAATTATTCTAATACAGAGAGTAAAGCATTTCTTTGGTTGCAAACCTGGCCAGTAGCATTCAAGAGTAAGGACAAATATATTGATATGTATTGTTCAAAAACAAATCAACCCATAGTAGTGATGATATGGAAATGCAGAGGATCAAACCAAGTTAAGGATATAGAATGAACTGGGTTGGTAAGATGTTTTTGTGTGTGGGAAACGGTCTGAATGTAAATTGTTACCATTTTTGACAAGTAGGCATAAGAAAGAAAACAATATGGTTTGGTAAACAGATATTTTAGATATTATGATATTTTAGATATTCTGATATTTTAGATATCCTGAGTTGCTGCTATGTTTCTTCTTCATTGTGGACTATATTATCCTAGATATATGACTTCAGACAGACAAAATTAGATATGTAAAATTCGAAATCAGCAGCACCTTTGTGTGAGCTAAAATTTAAAACCGTCAGAGGTTTTCAGTATGTAACATCACATATTCTGCAAATATAGTTTTACTTCTTTTCCAATGTAGATGCTTTTTAAAATTTTTTTTACCTAATTTCTTGATTGGAATCTCTAGTAGCATGTTAATACAAGTAGTAAGAGCAGACATTGTTGTCTTGTTCCTGATCTTAGAAAAAAAAGTATTCATTTTTTTATTATTCAGTATGATGTTCTCTGTGGGTTTTGCTTAGATGCCTTTATCAGGCTGAAGAAGTCCCCTTCTATTGCTGTTCTGTTTTTATCATGAAAGGAGTTGGATTTTATCAAATTATGTTTTTCTGTCTTTTGAAATCATATGGTTTTTATCTTTTATTCTATTGATGTGATGTTTTATATTGATTGTTTTTCTTATGTTAAACCAACCTTGCATTTCTGGGATACTTGACCATGGTATATAATCTTTTATATTTTGCTGCATTCAATCTTCTACCATTTTGTTGAAAAAGTTTGTGTCTATATTTATAAAGGCTATTGGCCTATAGTTTAGTTTTCTTGTGATGTCTTTGTACAGTTTTAGCGTTAGAATAGTACTAGCCTCATAGAATGAGTTCCTTCTTCTTCTACTTTTTGGAACAACTTGTGAATTATTTGTATTATTTTTCCTTTTAGCTTTTAGTACAATTCCCCTGTAAAGCCACCTGGATATAGACTTTTATTTGCAGGAAGATTTTGATTTCTGATCCAATCTATAGGTTTTAGGTCTATTCAGATTTTTTATTTCTTCTTGAATCAGTATTGGTAGTTTCTGTGTTTCTAGGAACTTTTCCATTTAATCAAGGTTATCTAATTTATTGACATTCAATAGTCCCTAGCCTTTATAATATTTAATTTCTATAAAGGCAATAGTAATGTCTCCTCTTTCACTCCTTATTTTAGTAATTTACCTCCTCTTTCTTTTTTTCTTGTAATGTCTAGCTAAAGGTTTGTCAACTTTGTTGATATTTTCAAATAACTTTAGATTTCTGTGATGTTCTTTATTGCTTTTCTATCCTTTCTTTCATTAATCCTGCTTTAATATTTACACTCCTTTGACTCATGTTTTCTTTCTTCTTCCTAGGACTCAAGTGGAATCATGAAATGGTATGTATGCGGGACCAGGAGTGGTGCATTTGTGTTACGAAGAAAGGTCTGTAGTCATTAGAGTTATTGGGTTGTCAACCAAAATGAAAAATCTCCGAAAGCCAGAAAAGTTAGATGTAATATTATTTTAAATTACTTATCATAGATGAGGATTTAAGTGTCCTATATTTATGGAGAATGAACCAGATTCTATAAGAGTGAATTCAATGATTGAAATTCAGTGTTAGAGCCAGTAAGGACAACAGGGATAAAGAACTTTACTATCAGACTCTCATTACTTCATTCATTTAATTCATTCTCTGTCCTTGCTCTGGTTCCTGTATTTCAGAGATGCTTGTCTTCCTCACGTACAGGGCCTCGTTGACTAGGTTATGGGGAAGCACCTTTATGCTTACTGTGCTTCGACAGGAATAGAGCAGATAGCTGTTCTGTGACGTTCTCTTTAGATTTCCAAAAACAGACCTTAGCCTATCCATCTGGCAGCTTCAAATTCTTTACAAACATGAAATTCTAACCATTTTTTGTTTCGTAGACAACTTTTCCTTTGTTGAGTGTCTCTAACTTTTCCAAGAACAGCTGAAATCTCAAATATCATTGTGGTTTACACCACTGAAGTTCAGGCATTGGACTAAGGCATGGGCTTCAAGGCTCTCCAAAGAGACCCACGTCACAGCCAGATCTGCCGCTTCACCACTGTCCTGCCTGGGAACCCACATCTGTGGCCCCTTTTTGGGGGACTCACTGTGATGTGGGAAAGTCCACATATTACATACCTTTTTTAGAGGTAGCAAAGGCTTGTTTTATACATTATGTCATCTAATTCAAACTATTTCCATGAGGTATCAAGGGGAGGGCTACTTATTCTATTTTTAGAAGAAGAGACTTACTTTGAGAAGACCTTCCCAAGGTCACACAGAGGGTAACTGGGAAGGTAGACATGAGCACATTTTTTCTGGCTCCAGTAGCACTTCCTTCTCTCCCCCCCCCCCCCCCAGTCTTCTCATAGAAGAAGGTACAAGTGCATTAATGGCATGGAAGGAGAGGAAGAGAGGGGTATTGGAAGGACATAAGGTAGGCTCAACATTGTTTGTCACCCCTAGGAGTAATCTGTGGACATTGAAGAAGCCAAAAACTATATCCAAAAAACTGAAGCATGGATTCCGTGCTCCAGATCTGAGTGGAATGCTGCACATGTTTAAAGGTGAGGAGAACCATAGCAAGAGGGTGGATGTGGGATGTTTGTGGTGTCAGGAACTAAACTGGGGAACTGGTATAGTTCCAGTGTGAAGATAGAAAGAGAAGGGATATTGCTGACAAAGATGTAATTCAGGCCAAATGGCCAGATTTGGGTTCATCCTCATTCACTAGTTCATAGCCTCACAGTGGTCTTCTCCCCTGCCCTTACTGCAGAGAAAAGACAGCTGTCACTGTTGAACCATTTACTTCTAATCAACATTACTGAATCTTTTATCTTTTCAGAGCTAACACATGTCCAGCGCTACTGGGGTAAGAAGTTACTGGGTCTTCAAATCTCCTTGTTCTGATCCTCCTTCAGAAGTTTGTGGTTTCAGTGAGATACAACCTCAGCCCCATGTGTTTCCCTCGTCTCTCAATACTTGTATATAATGCATTTCTCCAGAGCTTTATGCCACTTCCCCATTCATCAATGCAAGTACTTCCTGGTCACTTTCCAAGTTCCCTCTCCATGGGACCAGATGAATGAACCCCATATCTGTCACCTAATCTTATCTTTTCTTTTTTCTCTGCAGTGGACATCACATTGAATCCATTCAACCTAAATTTGAATCTTGTCCTTTCAGAGGATCAGAGACAGTTGTCATCTGTGCCAATTTGGCCTATAAAGTATTATAACTATGGTGTCTTGGGCTCCCAATATTTCTCCTCAGGGAAACACTACTGGGAAATAGATGTGTCCAAGAAGACGGCCTGGATCCTGGGGGTATACTGTAGAAAACGTTCCTCTAATATAAAGTTTGGTGTTAGACGAGGCACAGATTATTCAAATGTTTACTCCAGATTCCGACCTGCAAATGGCTACTGGGTGGTCGGGTTACAGAACGGATGTGAGTACAGTGCCTTTGAGGACTCTTCCACCTCTGATCCCAAGGTCTTGACTCTTCCCATGGCTGTTCTTCCCTGTCGAGTGGGGGTTTTCCTCGACCATGAAGGAGGCACTGTCTCATTTTTTAATGTCACAAACCATGGGTCGCTCATCTACAAGTTCTCTAAATGTCACTTCTCTCAGACGGCTTATCCGTATTTCAATCCCTGGAACTGTCCAGCTCCCATGACTCTGTGCCCACCAAGCTCCTGAGCCTTCTCCTTCCCTCACCCACTTCTGTGTAGCTGGGCTCATCTCCTGCACCTGAGCCGATCTCTATACATAGACCATCTCTTCCTTGCTGTCTCCCTTCTTTAGAACTTTGACTCGTTCTTGGGGTTGACAACTGTTTCTGTTTTGAGTTAGAAGAGAATCTTATTTACCCTTTTCTGTGTTCTCGGTGACAGACATCTAATCCCTCCTAAAGACAGAGAAATGTTGGTATAACATCTCTGTCCTCACATTTCTCCATATTTTCCTTTATCGCTGATTTCAAGAGCATGACAAAGACTGTCTCCGCCAACCATGATGTTAAGACAATCTTTAATTGCCCCACCCACCACCACCAACTGAGGAGTATTTGAGTGTATGTCTGTCTGTTGCTCAGCATATAGCAGTGTCATCTAAGAGTTGAGGGGGACAAAACAAAAGTAATATATGTACCCAGAGTGAAAAGTTTATGTTCAGAGTGAGTTTAAATCGTGTCTTTTTTCTTGCAAGGTATATGACAATGAATACATTTTTGTTTCTTTTTATAAAACACAAATTGCAATTTTTAAATGGCACCCAACTCTTGAGATTGTTGTGTAAAACTAACCATCACTCAATGTAAAGCACGTATTTAAGGGTCCTGCACAATATAATAAATATTTGCTCTTGTGATCACTGAAAAGTATAAGCTGTGTCTATATCCTGTGCAATGGATTTGTGCCCTTCAGATGAACAGAAAATGATTCTACTCAAGTCTCATTTGTCGTGTTCCCAAACTCTGCTGTCAAGACCATTCCAAGTCCAGTCTTGTATATAGACCTTTTTACACCAAGGCTGGGACTGTTTTAAGGCCCTTTGTTGGGAATGGGTCAGAATACTGCAGAAATTTTAGTTTCCAAACCTGTCCAGCAAAGGGAGCCATGTCTGGAGCAGCTATTCTTATTAGAGACAGCCTTTTGGTTTTCAGGGTTTTTTCTTGTGGTGAAACACCCTATATACAACCCTGTACACTTTTATTTTTCTGACTTTTGAAATTAGTTTTAAAATTATGATGAGGAATAAACTTACCTGTTCCTTGTAAAGGAACAAGCTTTTCTTAAAGCAGCATACATTCTAAATTAGGGCAGCAACTGCAGGGAACTCAAATCAAGATATAGAGGAGTAACAACTTATCCCAGTAAAATGAAAAAGAGAATACTCAGCCTGGGAAAGGTATGTACATGCACACTTATACTTACACATACACACAGATATAGATGACAGATAGATAGATGATAAATGGAAATGTATATATAGAGACTGGATATCTTTATCCATGTTAATTCTCAAATATATCATAAAAGAAAGAAATCTTATCAAGGAGTTAAAGGAATTTATAAGCTTATGAAGTATGTTCCAGTGTCCCATAGCTAATGAGTGGAGGAAGCAGAATTAAGACTGGGTCTGTGTTTCTCCAATTCAGGTGCCCTGTCTACAATTTACTTCCCAAGAAAAGGTAGAAGCCAAATTCACTTGGATGTGGGGTAGGAGGGAAAACCCAGGAGATGCTGATTTATCAAAAGAGCCTGGAGCATCATGGGGAAATCTTAGGTGCTAAGAGATAGTGATTGATGTGCTCAGGCCACATAGCCATGAATGGAGCAGGAGCTGCTCATGGTAATGGCTACAACCAAGTTGAAGTTAACGACAAGGGTGCTCTTGCAGGTGACGTGGTAGAGAGTGAACACTGGACAGCTAAGAGCCTTGACTTTAAAATCAGAGAGCATTTCATAGTCATATTGATATTGCTACTTATTGGCCCGTAGTAGATTACATTAAATTGGATTCAGTTTCTCCTCAGAAATAAAAATACAAAGAATAACATGATTAGAATACTGTGGGAATTAAAAAATAGAATGTTTGCATTAGCTTTCTCATTTCCTAGCATATAAGCAGTGGTCCAGATTGGTGTTAATTAATTTTCTTTGTAATTTCAAGTAGTGAATGATAGCAATGAATATTAATCTATTTCAAGTATTAGTTAGTACCTTAGTTGTGCTTTGAAGTAGAATAACTTGTTTAAGGAACCACATAATTTTTAATCCCCTCTTTTTGCATGATAAATATTCTGTTTCTTTAAATTTTCAAATATACTTTATAGTTTGTTTTCTAGTATAAAATTCTAGGTTGTCAATCATTTCTCTAAACATCCCCTTTGAATTTTCTATTTAACAGTGTGTTATCAATTATATTTTCTTTTTTTATTGTGGTAAAAACAATATAAGATCAAACCTCAAATGTTTAAGACATTGCAGTTAAAAGGGTTTAAACTTTCAGTTTTGCAAGATGAATAACTTCTAAAGATCTACTGTATAACATTCTGCCTATAGTTAACTATACTTATTGTGAATTTAGCAATCATTTTTTTATAAAAGAAAGTTTTACTGTTTTTGTAGCTACCTATTCTTTTATTTTAAGTACTGGAATAACTTTTATAATCTAAGTGACTATACCAGATAAAAGTTGATTTGACCTTGTTTTCTATTTCCATAGAAATTCTCCATTAGAAAGCCTTTTCTCTGTTTGCCCAGGTGTATCTCCTGTTTCAGGAGTTGGTTCACATTATGACGTACAGTGATAGAGGCAGGGTCAGGAGTTCTGTGTGGGCTCTTCAGAAGTAACATATAGGTCAAGGTTTCCCCTCCATGGTCAGCCCCAGTCTTTCCAAGGAGCTGAAAGGCTGCAGATGTCCTCAGGAGTGGGCAAAGCCTCTCCTCCTCCTCCTGTGAGACAGCAGGGTAGGTGCTACGGGAGTGACTGTTCTTGCAGCACATGTCTCTGGTATTTCCACTTCCCACTCTCCCCACCCCACTTATTAGCCAAGAGGAATAGGAATACTGGGCTATGTGGCCAGTGTCTGCTCTGGTCCCTGTCTCACAAGAAATTCTTCAGTTCCCATTTCTGGAAAACCTGTGGTGAAAGGGATTCCAAGATAAAATACCTCTCTCTCTCTCTCTTTCTCTCTCTCTCTCCCCCCCCTCTCTCTCTTCCCCCTACACACACACACACACACTCCTCTCAGACACTGGGAGAAATGGATTCTTATCTTATCCCTACTCCCTTTGACCTCTGTTCTCCTGTTGCACTATTACCACAGTGACCGAAGCCATAAGTCATTAAGAAAAATGTGTACTCTCTGGACTTATACAATACTTATCTCTATAAGGATATTACTGAGTTTTGTTCCCCAGAATGTCCAGGCTTACAGTTCAAGTTGTGAAACAAGTTACAAAAAAAAAATTAACTGAGCTAGCAAACACAAAGGAAAAGTTCTTTACACCGAGACGTCTTTAAACGCACCCCCTACACACACACACACACACACACACACACACACAACAGCATCCATTCTCCCAATTGAAGCCCTCTCCTTGGAGTATGAAGCCTGCAAGTAGCTTTTATTTACATTGCTTTTTCTTAGCAAATGTCTTGAGAAGGGACTCTGGACTCCAAATAAAAAATCCATTGGGCATCAAGTTGGATTTTCTCGTGACGCAAGCATTGAATAGGTTTTCCTTCTCTCTCACCTCTGAACCTCTGAGTGGCAAATACTCATATGTTTGGGATCTTAAGATAGTGCTGGGTTATTAATTTGGAAGATAGATGTTCACAATACAAATTTGGGGGTCAGAGGTTTAGTAGAATTTCAGAGAATATACAGACTTTATTCCACTGGTTCATCTATAGATGATATCTAGAGTTATCAAAAATTATAAACAAGAAGTTTCTAAATCTTGGGGACCTGATATCCCCATTGGCACAGAGACACGTGATCTGTACTTAATGATATCAGATTCTAATGGTAGCCTAATTTGCCCAAGATTTGTGATGGGGAATCTATTGATTCTGACTCCTTATCTCTCCATATGGTCCAGTCATAGGTTGTCTTTTGTTTCATATATATAGCAACTATTAATACCAAACCCAGATCTGGCTGCCTGCTGCTCAAAATCAAATAATCAAGAGACATGAGCTGGTGGAATAAAAGTTGGTTTATTCAAGAGCCAGTTGCTTGAGAAGATAGGAGAGTTGTGATGGAAAGACCATCGTAACATCTCAGTGCAAGCAGAGGTTTTTATGAGTGAGAGGGCAAGCAGAACAAAGAGATCAAGGGGAGGGTGTTGAAAAGTTTTCTAAGTGCACAACAGCCCAGGCCATTCCAATAAGTATCTTTAAAATGTTCAAGCAATGGTCTGTGTGCATCATTCTATGTCCGTTTTCTTTTTAATGCTTGAACGTCAGTAAAACTTCTGGAGCTGTAACATCTGGTGGTTAGTCAGTGTCCTTTGAAGTCAGTTCCTAAAATTCCTATACTGTCATGCTGTTTATCTACAAGTTACATATTAGTCAGAGTCAGCATTTACAGAGACAAGGTCAAAAGAATGGTGAGGTGGTTACAATTCCCCAATGTCAATTTTTCTTCCATTTCCATGGAAGTTTCTTTTTTTCTTCTTTCTTTTTTTTAAAAATTTTCTCCTGACTCATCTGTAGTAGAACCTTGAGGCATTCATTTAGTATGAAATGCCTAGACTTGTTGGAAGATAAATTTTTCAGTTTTTCTATTTAGAGGAGAAGCTTTAAAATGCATTTGCTTTCTAATTGCTGAAGTCTGTTTGCGCATTCTTATTATACATAGTGATTATCTTGAATGTCTAGAAAGGATTAATATTAGAAATAAGATAGTTTTAACTTTACAATTTCTCCCAGGAAAAACTTTAAAGGCAATTAAGTGAACTAGAGTCTAATATGCAAAAGTGTGTCTTATACATTCTATTGAAATACAGTTTTTCCCCTAAAAGCACTCTTATTTATATCAAAGATAGTGAAATTAAGAATATTAATTTCATTAAGTCCAATTTAAATTTGGCCTGATTATTTGCATAAACACAATGAGAATAGCATTTGATCATATAGGCTTTCTTAAATCGGCTTTGCTGGAATCTCATAAAGAATTTCCATGTTAAACTTTAGCCTCTCAGGGTGAAGAAGCCAAACCACATAGTTGCCACATAGTTGCAATACTCAAAAGTGTGGGTAAATTCCTCAAGTTCTTGAGGTCTCCTTAAAATGGCCTGAGGTTCTTTCTTTGCCATCTCCCAGGACAGCTAACTTTGCTCCTTACCTGGAAGACTGCCATGAACCACGTAAATGGTCAAGGAACCAGATTGTTTTTCCAAGGGCCTTTTATCAGATTCCAAAATCAATCTTAATTCCTTAAAGTTTTTTGCTGGCATCCAGAGTCTGCCTGTCCTTCTCAAACATGACATTCTAGTCAAAGTCTTGGTTAATGAAACCAGTTTCCAATTGTGTTCTGTTATAAAAAGAATGTATTCTTATTGAATTTATGTAAACAGGCATATTGTCATGAAAATAATAATATGTGCTCATTAAGAGTTTTAAAATTTTGGAAGAATCAAATATGGAGAAAGTGTAAATGTTTTAATATTGTTTATTAAGGTAAAATTTACCAAATTGCTCTAAGAAAAAAAAACACACTTTTTTTTATATATATATCTGGAAAACAAAAAAGATTTTAAAATCAACATTATTTTGAATGAAGTGATAAAAATATTATACTCAGTTCATTTATTCCTATAA